TGTAATCATGCTCAGATGCCGAGGAGCTCAGAAGGTGGGCGACTGTGACCAGTGATAGTCATGTATATAGAGATTAGAAATGCATGTGAAAACGTCTCAATGTCAATTGCTTTGGAAGGAATTCTTCTGTATGAAAAAAAAAAAACAAAAACAAAAACAAGTATCTTCTTGAAGTCCCTCAAATTAAGGTAAAGAATAAGAACAAATTCTGGAAGAACGCAAAGGAAAATAGCTTTAGATACTTAAGTGACAATAGAATTTATTCTCATAATTGTTTTAATAGCTTTTGTATAATCCTCATCACTATTATGAGATATAAAATGTATTTATCAAATCTGTAATCATTATGCCAAAAAATCTGAATTACTGTAATATTTTGCATATTGTAAAATGTTGAATTTCAGGTGGGAGCATTAGGAGACTGTAGGGCTCTGACCTGGTGCTGCTGCTGTCTACTCAGCTCAGTCAACACAGAGGGTCTGCCAAAGGAGGCATGAGGAACAACAGCCTCCCTGCCGTAGTAAAAGGGAGCTCTTCTGATTTAGGAAAGCAGAAGAATAAATGAAAGAATAAATTAACCAGATGTTTATTTACATGCCTATAATAGTAAATGTTGAATTTCAGGTGGGAGCATTAGGAGACTGTAGGGCTCTGACCTGGTGCTGCTGCTGTCTACTCAGCTCAGTCAACACAGAGGGTCTGCCAAAGGAGGCATGAGGAACAACAGCCTCCCTGCCGTAGTAAAAGGGAGCTCTTCTGATTTAGGAAAGCAGAAGAATAAATGAAAGAATAAATTAACCAGATGTTTATTTACATGCCTATAATAGCAGCCCTTGGGAGGCTGAAGCAGGGATTGTTGTGAGTTCTAGACCAACCTGGACTTCACAGTAAGTTCTAGACCAGCCTGCACTACAGCATGAGACTGTGTCTCAAAAGTCAAAACTAAAGCAAACAACAACAAAAACAAAAACCCAAGAATGCGAAGTTAAACCAATACATAGTTTCTAGCCTGAAGAATACAGAAAAAAATGAATAAAAATGTTCAGACCCTAAATGATTTCAAGTACAATACTGATGCTTCAATATGTGTTTAATGGGAATTCCAAAAGAGAAAAAGTGGAAGTCGAATTTTTTTTAAAGATAGTGGTCTAACTATGAAGCTCACAGAACTTAGTGACAAAAAGCAATTGATTTATATATCCAAGAATATCATCAAACTTGATTTGGAATAAATACAGCTTTACATTTGGACATATAACCATCCAATTCTCAAATGCTGAAACAAAGATCTTAAAACAGCAAGAGAAAAATAACTCGTCACGTGCCAGGGACCATCAGTATGAATCATGGCTGACTTCTTGCTTAAAACAGTATAGCTCTGAAGACAATGGGATGACACACTTCAACATTTAGAACAGAGAAAGGCAACCAAGATTTCTTTATCCGGCCAAATTATCTTTTTAAAAAAGGAAAAATAAATGATTTACAAATAAAAAAAATAAAATAAAATAAAAAATAAAAAATAATATAACAAAATTTTTTTTCCTTATGTCAAAAATTACTTACATTTGATGCTGGTATTCATGCTTACTGGAACTGAGCAGTCTACTGCAGCTGAAAGAGAAAAAAATCTTTTCATAATATTCTTGATATTTATAAATGGCAACAGATATTAGATGTATAGATCAAAAGCACCACAACTTGAAGTTCCTTTCTTTTTTATTGTACTTATAAAGATGAAAAATAAAATCCCTGATAAAAATACACTGTGGAGCCGGGTGTGGTGGCACATGCCTGCAGTCCCAGCTTGGGAGGCAGAGGCAGGTGGATCTCTGTGAGTTCAAGGCCACCCTGGTCTACATAGTGATTTCCAGGACAGCTGGGGCTACAGGGAGACCCTGTCTCAAAAAGACGAAAAAAAAAAAAAATACACTGTGGGATTAACAGCCCATTAGAGATCTGGGAAGATGATATTGGTGAACTTGAAAACATAGCAATATAAACTATTCAAAACCAAACAGAAGGAAGACAAAACAGAAACGAATGGAGGGTCACTGGCCTAACATGCCTTTATCACGCACATTAATGCAGTTGTAATTGGGAGTCTTATGGTAGACTGGAAAGAAAAAGAGCAAAATGGCATATTTATACTACCTGTTTCAAGACTTAATGTAATGCTATGGTGATAAAGCAGGGTGGTATAGGCATACAGGTAGATGTGCAGATAAACAGGACCAAAACAAATCTAAAAATAGATGTATGCAACACCAAACGATGCTAAGGTAATGCAATAGAGAAAGGAAAATCTCTTAACAATTGGTTCTGGAAATGTTGTCTAAGTAGGCAAAACCAAGATCTTTATTTCATACTATGTACAAAAACTAACTCAAAATGGATCACTAACTTAAATGGCAATGCAAGCTAGTCCAGTCACTCTGGAAATGAATTTGATAGTTCGTAAAGTTAAACGTGCACATAACCAAACTTCTTCATTCTACTCATAGTAAAATAAATTTACCCAAGTGATATAGAAACACATGTTCAAAACTATGTGTGAATGTTTATATCATCTTCATTTCTAATAGCTCAAATGAATCAAACAACCCAAATATTCACCAAGCATTGAATCAATCAGCAAATTATGATAGATTCATTAAATGGACTACAACTTAGCAATAAAATTCTATTAAGGCTGGGGTGATGGCTCAATCAGTAAAGTACTTCCTGTGTGAGCACAGGACCTAAGTTCAATCCCCAGAACCCATGTAAAAAAGCCAGACACTGACATGTTGTGCACTTGTAATCCTATCACTGGTGAGGCAGTGACTGGTGGATCTCGGGGCCTGCAGGCCAGTCAGCCCAGCCTAAGGGTAAGCTTCATGAGCCAGTGAAACACTCTGCCTCAAAAATAAGGTAGAATGATGCCCGAGGTGATCCTCTGGCCTCCATAGGTACTTGCACACACATGCACATACATTCCCCCCAAATTAAAAAGGAAATACTGAAAAATGCAACAACACGGATGTCTCAAAAGCATTATGCACATTCAAAGAAGTCAGGCCCCAAAGTATAAATAAACATGATTCTATTTGTGTAAAATTCTAGAAAAGACAAAACTATGGGAACAGAGAACAGATCAGTGGCTGTCAGGGATTTGAAGGGGGAGGGCTGGTTGCAAAGATCAGAGAGGAATTTTTCAAAGTAATAGAAATGAGGTCAGCAAATTGTTCTTGTAAAGGACCAGAGAGTAAGTGCTCATGATTTGTAGGGAGACCCAGAAGGTTACAATTAGTCGACTACACTTTTTAGGGCAAAAGCTGCCACAGACTATGTGAAAGAATGAACATAATGTGCTTATGGACATTAAACTCAAATCTACAAAATGTACAAAATACCATCCTTTTATTTTATTCAGCCATTTAAAATAGAGACACCAATCTGCTCATGAGCTGAACAAAACAAGTGGCAAGACTAACTCACAAGCTATTGTTGAACCATCTTTGGTTTATAGTATGACTCTAGTAGTGGTTACACAAATGTATAGATTTTCCAAATATTTAGCTGTATACTTATAATTGGTACCTTTTTGCTGTACATGTTATTTCTTAATAAAACCAACAATAAAATAAAAACTAATGTAGCAAGCATCTTCTTTGTGCAATTTCCTGAGTAGATGTGAAAATAAAAAAAGATTACAAATATATTAAAACAAACATCTAGCAGGGCATGGTGGCATACCACCTTGTCGTTGGGAGGCTGAGAGAAAAAAGAGGGGCTTGGAAGATGGCACAGACACTAAAATGCTTGCTGTACAAGCATGAGGACCTGAGTTTGATCCCCGGAACTCAAGGAAAAAGCAGAGTGTGGTGGTATGTGCTTATAATCCTAGCACTGGAGAGGTAGAGACTGGAGGATATCTGAGGTTTGCTGGCTGGCCAAGCCTAGCCTAAAAATGATGAGCCCAAGTTCCCAGTGAGAGTCTCAGTCTCAAGAAACAAGGTGGATGGCTCCTAAGGAATGACACCCAAGGTTTACCTCTGGCCTCTACATGCATATGTACACACACACTTGCACACAACACATGCAAACACCCATAATACACACTCATAAGTTTTACTACATTACATGAATTGTCTAGGTATCATGTAATTGTAAATATAGTTAACAGAAATGGCATTCTTGATTCATTACAGATATAGTCAGTATCACGTATCTTACTATATCAAAACACAAATCCTTTTATAGACAATGCAATAACTTCTGACACAGCTTTATGATAATGAGAAGTAAAGATGGGGTTGAAACTGGCACAGAAAAGTTTGTATTTGCACATTTTACCTTTGGCTGAAAGGATTTTATTATAGTGAACAGCCATGTGGTTCTTGACCAGCTGGAGAGTGGTTAGTCTGAGAGAAGAGGAGTCAGTGCAAAAAGCTAAAAATTAAAACATATTTAGTCATTACATACTTGATGTAATCTTTATCACAAGACACACAGTTAATGATTATCAAGGCCATTCTTAATAATGTTCTGAAATTCAATCTAAGTTACTAATATTATACTACTTTTGTGGTGCTGTGTCCCAGCCTTTTTAGGAATTAAGTTTTGTAGACCTGAGCATTTGGGAGATTCTAGAATATACTCTATTAATATATTTACAAAATGATTTTTTATTTTTATTTATTTTTGGTCTTTTTGAGACAGCGTTTCCCTATAGCCCCAGTCTGCCTGGAACTCCCTAGGTAGACCAGGCTGGCCTCAAGGATCTCACAGAGATCCACCTGCCTCTGCCTCCTGTGTGCTGGAATTAAAGGCATGCACCACCACACCTGGCTCCAAAACCATTTTTTTATATCTCTGTCTCATAGTTAAAAATCTTTAGTCATCTGCTTGATTATAAAATGTCACCATGCCAATTACTTGGACAATCCACAGGGTTTTGGGAACTCAAACAAATCCCAAACCACAAGAATGGAATACAAAGATTCCATTCTGAAAGGCAAATTTCTGACTTTACACCTGGAAACAAGATCTATAGATTGGTTCACTACAATCCTTTTAAAGTACTAGGCCTAACTTACAAAAAGCATAATCACATAAAAATCTATGATATTAAACTTCTCTACCTTCATTCAAACTGTTTAGAGGAAATCTTAGACATTGTTAAACACTTGTATATAAGTATAAAATATTAACATGAGCATATTTTTTAAAAATTAAAAACATTTTTTATATGTGTATGTGTGCAAATGTGCATGCACCTCTGTATGTGTGTGGTCACATGGATGTGTCACAGGTAGAAGTGTGTGCACACATTTGCCTGCATGTGTCTGGAGACCTGAGGCTGACACCAGGAGTCTTCCTTGATCACTCTCTGTCTTATTTATTGAGGCAAAGTCTCTTGATTGAACCCAGAGCTTGCTAGCCACCATGCCCACTAGGCATTTATGGATGTTCTGGGGATCCAAACTCTGGTCCTCATATTTGTGCAGCAAGCACTTCATCCATCCAGCCATCTTTCTAGCCCCTAAAAACAATTTTTTGAGAAGAAATACATTCATCTGGTTAAAAAATTTAACAGTGGAAACACTATATAGAGACTGAAAAATAAGTCATTTTTGTACAATGAAACTGAGTTTCCCTTCCTAGATATATGCTCTACTACTTTAAAAGCCAACCCATGCAGGGAAGCTCTACACATAATAAAAGCATACACGGTAACTAGGAAATTTATTACTATTGAAAACACTGCTCGAAGAGGACTCACTTGCTATGCATTGTTCCAGTGTTCTCTAAAAGTGAAAATTTATCTACTCATTATTATCACCATTTAACAGAAGTGAAAACTGAGACACACAGCTATGAACCAAGTCTCGGGTTACATTACTGATAAAGGATGCAGGGCTGCTTTATGAGGCAATTCAGCCTCATACTGAAAACTGCTATGCCTAAACCAGCTCTGCAAATACATTTTTTTAAAAAGCAAATATATTTTATTCTTCACCCTGCTCATCTATGCATGCATATTTTAAATCTAGTTTCACTTTGTGTAGTGCTTGTGTGTGTTTCTGAAGACTGAGCCTAAAGGCCTTATACATGCTAGACAAACACTCTATTACTGAGCAGTGTCTCCAGCCCTTCTTTTACTTTTTATCTAATCCTTAAAAGATTTTAGGGTTACCTCATCAGAAGATGGAATGTTAAAGTAGCCAAATGCCCCATACAAAATAAATAAATCAATCAAAGAAAAAGAGTACATGAAGTTATCAGAGAAAAGTGATGGGGAGATATGGGAGGAGTTGGAGGGGAGGAAATGGGCATGGATTTGATCAAAACACCTTATATGCATGTATGAAATTGTCAATACATTATTTATTTAAAAAAGAAAAAAAGGGTCTCAAGTTGCCTAGAGTGGCCTTGATCTCACAGTAGCCTGGGCAGGCTATAAACTTGCTATCCTCCTGCCCCAGCCTTCTGAGTACTGGGATTACAAGCTTGTACCACCAGATTTGGCTTTAAAGTTTCTTAAAAAACTCATTTTTCAAAGTATATACACTCTAATACAAATAAATAAATGAGATAATTGAAAATTTGATACTTTCTTTATTCTTGGAGGTGACAGTATCAAAGATTTTTCATGTAAAATAAGGACAAACATGTTTCATTATTTTTTCTGAAACTCATGCTGAAGACTATTAAGTCTTAAATTTTAGAGTTAACATTAAAAATTTATTTTGAAGACTTTAAAATATAAAAGTATCACAGGACTTAGAAATTCAGTTGGAAAAGTAACCCATAAATGTTTGCTAAGGACGCATTCAAGTTCTCTCTGTACAGCTTTTCCTTAGGGCTTGTGCTTTTCCCACTTGATAATCACCACTTTAACAAGGCGGACAGGCCTAGCTGATCAGGAAGCAGGAGGCGGCTAAGTCCACCCTCAGGGCACAGTAATAGTTGACATCATGACCTCCTAAAAGTGTCTAAGAATTCCTATATTTAATTATCATCATTAATATGAAGTCCAAAGATCCATCAAGTGAACTGTCTCATTGTGCGTGTAATTTGCCAGTACAGAAAACAGTGACTCTAGACGAGTCTACAACTGAAATAGTTCACTTACCATTGCTCTTGGTGCTCAAGTGTCCTGTAAATAGGCATGATGGACTGTATCTGGGAAGGACAGAAGTTGCTTTAACTTTGAACAACAACAAAAACCACAAATTAGGATAAGTAAAACACAACTTCCACAAAACAATACACAACATTTCAAAAACAATACATTTACTTTTAAAGAAAATTGTTAAAAATTTTACACAGCACTCGAGGCAGAGGTAGGAGACTGTCTCAAAAAAAAAAAAAAAAGTGAAGACACTGTGTAGCAGCAGGAGTTCTGGTCCTCTGGCTCTTCCAATCTTCCCGCCCCCTCTTCTGCAATACTCCCTGAGCCTTAGGTGTACAGCTGTCTAACTGGACTTAAGGCTGGCGCAACAGGAAGGAATATATGCCTGGTACTGTAAACTTAGCCAACTACCCATGACTGGAGAGGCCAGAGACCCTAGAGAGCCTACCACTGCAACTTTCCAAAACCAATTTAATTTCTAAGTGTATTTCAAATACACACCCTCGTATCCACAGATAAGTGCAGCTCTCACCTCTCATCAAAGAAGCTTCTTTTCCCAACTGACGGAGACAATTACAGAGAGACACAACTGGTCAAAATGTAGAGAATAAGTGACTGTGAGGTGCCCAACCTCAACTGATACAACTGAAATGCAGCCCCTACATCTAAGGCTCAGGGAACATTGTAGAAGAGGAGGCAGGGAGACTTTAAGAGTCGTGCAGATGAGGACAATTTCACACGGTCCCAACTCTAGATGAAGAACTACAGGAAATCAATGGCTTCTGAGAGACAGAAAATCAAATTTCTCCAGTATGGAGCTCCTTAGCAGGTTATCCAATCCCAGGTGGTCAACCTTAAACACACACACACACACACACACACACACACACACACACGAGAGTCACTAAATGGATTCAGTAGGTTTTGTGTGCATACATACATATACATATATGCAACAATAAAGAGGCCATGGAATAGAGAGGGAATTGGGGAGATGTGGGAGGAGTTGGATGGGGGAATGCAGGGGTGGAAATGATGTAAATATAGTATTTATGTAAACAATTCTTAAAATTTAAATTATAAAAAATTAAAGGTGGAGAGTGATTGAGGAAACACATCTGAAGCTAACAGACTTCCACATACACACACAAACAAGTACACAATAACACACACATACACACACACACACACACACACATTTTTAAGAAATCAGCTATGAACTGGGTGTAGTGGCACACACATTTAATCCCAGCACTCAGGAGGCAGAGGCAGGTGGATCTCTGTGAGATGGAGGCCAGCCTGGTCTACCTAGTGAGTTCCAGGCCAGCTGATACAGGAGACCCTATCTAAAAAAAAAAAACAAAAACAAAAAAAGAAATTAGCTATGCCAGGCATAGTAGTGCATACCTTTAAGTCCAGCACCCAGGAGACAGGCAGGCAGATCTCTGTGTAAAACAACCTAGTCTACAAAGGGAGTTCCAGGGTAACTGGGGATACAAGGAGGCCCAGGCTAAAAAAACTTAACCCCCGCCCCCCAAAAAGAATCAGCTATTTTCTGTGACGTATTTTGTGTGTGTGTGTGTGTGTGTGAGAGAGAGAGAGAGAGAGGGTGTGCTAGGGATTGAACCCAGAGCCTCCAGTACAGCTAGGCAAGTGCTCTACCACTAAACTCTTTCAAAATAAATTATTTTCAAAACAGTTTACCTTGAGACTTTAGTTTCATGGGTCAAATGTTCAATACATCAATTATGTCACTTGATATATATTGTTCTTATTTATACCATTGACTCATTAGATTTTTGAGATAATATACTAATAGCTTGAGTTAATACATATGTCTTAACTAGTTTATATCATATATTTACCAGTTTTTGTTTGAGGATTAGGTCTCATTATGCTGCCCAGGCTGGTCTTGGGTTCCTGGGTGCAAGTGATCCTCTTGCCTGGGTCTCCCAAATAGCTAGAATTACAGGTGTACACCAGTGCACCCAACTAAACACTCTAGATTTAAAGGAGATTCCAGCAATGTAAAACAGCATCTGGCTCTTGGCACCCCAGTCCTCTGGACTGCCCTCTTGGCCCAGATGCCCCACTGCTTCCTGATCCTTTGCACCCAGACCAACCCAATACCTCGGTCTCAGGGCCTCCCCCACCACACCTCTGCATACCTAAGACCAGCTTTCATCCCTGGCTGTCCCACCCCCAGCCTGGACTCCTGAGACCAGCTTCCTTCCCTGACTGTCTCAGAGTCTTGAATCCTACCTCTACCTAGCAAGCCTCCCAAACGGTATTGTGCCTGCTGACTAGAGGGATCCAGACCTTAGGAGAAAGCCTGAGAGCATCCTATCCTCATCTGACTTGGGCCTCTGTGGGAACTCCTGAGCAGCAGGACGAAATCCATCTGGCCCTTCCAATATAAAATCAAAAGAGAGAACCTGAAACCTAGAAAAACCAAATTTTCATGCCCAGCAAGTAAACCACAAAGGCATAAAAAGTTTACAAACAGAAGCAGACCTAAACTCAGCAAAGGAAGGCTTGAGTCTCATACAAGAATCAGAAACTACAAAAGAAACCCACGTGTCAAAGTCACAGTGAAAAAATAATAACATGAAAAACCCAAATAATATATCCCCACCAAGTACCAAACAGTTCTGTTAGAGGAGTACAATGCGAACCCTGTAGAGATAACACAGACATGGAATTCAAAAGAACAATCATAAACAATTATAAACATGATAAAAGAATTCAGTGAATTTAAAGAACACACAAAGAAATGAAAGAACTGAAAGAAGATAGGGATAAACTTCTGAATGAATTCAGAAAGGAGTTAGAAATATTAAAGAAATGAAGAAGGAAGTGAAACATTCAATAAGTCAATTAGAAATGACAGGAAAAAGCCTCACCAATAGGATGAATGAAATTGAAAACAGAATTTCAAGACTGGAAGATAAAGTGGATGAATTAGACCACTCAAGCAAAGATTATGAAAAACTTAAGAAAACACAAGAATGGAATATGCAGGAATTGTGTGACACCATAAGACCAAACTTACACATCATAGGCATAGAGGAAGGAGAAGAGTCTCAGGATAATGGTATGGAGCAGTTTCTTGGCTAAAAGTCAAAATGTCCCTCGGCCTTTTGGCAACATACTCTGTTCCAAGGCCAAAAATGTCAAAAGTATTTGGGAACTTTTATCTAATCCTTAAAAGATCTCAGGGTTACCTCTTCAGAGGGGGGAATGCTGGAAGGGAGGGAGTGGGCATGGATTTGATTAAAACACCTTATATGCATGTATGAAATGCTCAATAAAGTTTTTGTAAAATTAAAAAAAAGTGTTCAGGGGGCTGGAGAGATGGCTCAGCGGTTAAGAATACTGGTTATTATTCTTGCAGAAGACTCGGGTTTGAATCCCAGCACCCACATAGTAGCTAACAACTGTCTGTAACTCCAGCTCTAGGGGATCCGACAGCCTCTTCTGTCCTCCACGGGCATTGCAGGACACAGGTGCACTTACCTACATGCAGGCAATACACACATACACATTTTTTTTCACACACACACACACACACACACACACACACACACACACACATTTTCAACATCATTAGTAATAAGGGAAATGGAAATTAAAACCACTTTAATTTCATCTTACCCCAGTCAGACTGGCTAAGATCAAGAGAACAAATGATACCAAATGTTGGAGAGGATGTGGAGAAAGGGGAACCACTCATCCACTGATGGTGGGATTGCAAACTTGTTCAACCCCTATGGAAAGCAGTGTGGAGAACCCTTGAAAAACTAAAAATGAACCTACCATTTGACCCAGTTATACCACTCCTTGGCACAGACCCAAAGAACTCATCATATTGCAGAAACACTTGTACATCTGTGTTTGTTGCTGCTCTTTTCACAATAGCTGAGAGATGGAAGCAACCTAAGTGTCCCTCAGTTGATGAGTGTATAACGAAAATGGGGTTCATAAATGTGGTTCATATATACGATGGAGTTTTACTCAGCAGTAAAGAAAGATGAAATCATGAAATTTGCAGTTAAATGGATGGAAGTAGAAACTGTTATACTAAGTGAAGTAACAGACCCTGAAAAACAAATGACGTATGTTCTCCCTCATATGTGGATCCTAGCACCAAATCCTTATAAGCAAGTATGTATCCAGACCTAACTACAGGAACCAGGATAATGAAAAGGAATCAGGGAGGTAAAGGAAAAGAAAGAACCTGAGAGAGAAGAACAGTATGAAATAGGTGTTACTAAAGGAGATATGGATAAAATAGGGTTATTGAATTGGGAGAGGGGAGGAAGGGTTATACAAGGAACCTAGCAGATAAAGGGATCTCAAGAGAGGTGGGACCATAGGATAAGGGTATTGTTAAGGGAGAAATGGGAAAAATGAGGGCACTTTAAATGGGGAAACCATGGTAGAAGGGTTAGACAGTGAGAGAGATAAATAATGTCTAGCTAGTTAAAAACAAAACAAAACAAAACAGAGGGAATCATATTAGTCCAACAATCTACTGATAAATTACACATACAATATCTCTATATGAGCCCAAGTGTATAGCTGAAGGCTACATAACAAAAAACATTGCCAGACAGGAGAAACCTTCCTTTTCTTGGATGTTTAACAGCCATACTTTAAGGCCTATACTAATCTGGTCAGAGGGACTTAAAGGACAGTTTCTGCTCCTTGCCCTCCAAGGTCGACTAAGTTCCAGGGGACTATGAAGCATCTCTCAAAATGTCCTGTAACTGTGGTAAGTCACCTGTCTTCTTGATCAAGGAGGCCATGAAGACCCCACCAGATGGACTTGAACCAGTGTCCAGTCTACAAAGATAAGGGTCAATACAGAAGAAACATGTCCTCCATCCTTCCAAGTGAGGCTAGCCATGGTCGAGCAGGACCTTTGACTTATCTTCACATAGATGGAACTGGTAAAAGGAAGGAGCCCGGGGCTCCTTCCAAGCCCATGTGAACCCTGAGGAACAGATCCTCAAACAACCTTAAAAGTAAAAATAAATTGGTTTATCTGTCTTAAACACCCAAAAGGAAAGTATAACCAAAGACTAAAGTGATCAGTATATTTCTTTAAGTGTCCATGTGTATAGCTAAAGGCTACATAACAAGAAACAATGCCACACAGGAGATACCTTCCTTTGAGTTATTGGCCAGGGTAGCCCAAGAAACTCCCAGACACTAACCTAGAATAGAAATGGGAAAATGAACAGCAGACTCCAATCTTATCTAAAGGAATGTTGGCAACTGATTGCTGCTAGATGAGGAAGAGCCGATCTTTCTAAAGGGACTCTAAATAGGCTGACTAGATTCAGTGGATGGAGTAACACTGGGGAACAGCTGGGCTCACTGACAACACAGTGGACAGTAACAGGGATGACAGAATATATGGGCTCCAGTGGAGGAGGCTATGGGAGGGTGCCATTTGGGATACGGGTATAAAGATGAGTAAGATTGGAATGTTCTGTATGAAATACACACACACACACACACACAAATCAATAAATATAAAAAATCAGTTATATTTGAGGAAGAAGCATAAAAATTTGCTTCATGTTAATTAGTAGGTATGAAAAACATTGCCATTGAAATCTTGATGAATTTATATCCATGCTCCAGGTGCCAAGGATCCCAGAAAGTGACTATGACTAGTAATAGTCAAATATACAGAGATTATAGACACATGTGCAAACATCTAAGTGTTATTTGCATTAAAAATGAGTTTTTCTCTATGAAACAGCATATTCTAAAATGAAATGGGGATCTTTTTTAAAGGTTAAAACCTCATTCAATTTTATGTCTTATAGGATTTATACTGAACACAATAATGTATAATTGTATTAATTCAACACTGTGAACCTAAAAATTACAATTTTGAAAGAGATGCATCTTTGTTCTGGAAACTGTTATTGACTATGTCAATGCTGTTGAAATAAAATGCTTCTATTAATTATGTGGTTATTAAATAAATTTAAAAAATCAAATAAAAAATAGAGTCCGATTTTTGAGATGACATGGATGTTGGGAAATTACATCTAATAGACCTCACCACAAAATACTTTCTTTCTTCAAAATGTGACTGTTTTCAGCAATTATCTTCAAAACAGAAAATCTGAGTTTCAGTGTCAAGTGTAACTAACACACCAAACATGAATACTGTACCCAAGGGCAGATTTTGTGCGGTGCTGAGGCTCAAACCCAGAGCCATTTTCTACCTTTGAACTACACACCCAGTTCCAGAGATGTCTTAACAGGGTAAGATGGCGGTTTGTTGTTAGATTGGCTGTTAAAAGTTATATAGGTGTAAGGAGAATCATACAACATCTAGAAGAAATATGGATGACTAAAAATATGAAAAGAGTGCTGGAGATGGCTCAGCAGTTAGAGCACTGGCTGCTCTTGCAGAGAACTGGGTTTGATTCCAAGCACCCTTGTGGGGGCTAAGGACCATCCGCAACTTGAGTTCCAGGGGGTCTGATGCTCTCTTCTGGCTTCTGTTGGCATTAGCAGAATGCCATGGTGCACATATATGCATATGGTCCAATACTCATATACATAAAACAAACAAAAAAATTAAAAAATAAAAATGAGGGGGCTGGAGAGATGGCTCAGTGATTAAGTGCACTGGCTGCTCTTCCAGAGAAGCCAGGTTTGAGTCCCAGCACCCACATGGCCATCTGTAATTCCAGTTCCAAGGGATCTGACGCCCTCTTCTGACCTCCGCTGGCATTGCATGACATGGGTGCACTTACAGGAGGCAATATACCTATACACAAAAAATAAAAATTGTAAAGGAAATATTAAAAAAATAAATAAAAATGAAAGCATTATTGGTGTAGGAGACTTAAAAGTATAATCCAGAGGAGAAAACCTGCTAGAATAGACAATATGAGATGCTCCATCTATTGGACAAGTCAGAAGACAGGTGATAGCATTTGAGTTGGTGAGGATGATACTCATGAGATTAGCATGACAGAAGCAGATCTGAGAGTTAACATTAGCAAAACAAAATACATAACACATGTTGAAGAAAATATTTTTTTCTTTTGAGGAAAAGAAGAGCTTGACCTTCTGCTTGCCCTGAATTCAGTGCCTCTGTTTCTAGAAAGCACCTCAACTTTCCTTTCAGGACTTGCTCCTCCTCTACTCCTGGCCCAGGTGACTCAAATTCAGCTGATCCCATGGCTGAGGGTTGGGTAGAGATTCCAAATTATGGGCCTGATGAGCAATTTACTATTCGAACTAAATCTAGTCAGAGACATAGTCCTGAGACTTTTAGGAAAGATGCTCTTTCCCTGGGTTTGATATGCCCAGTGGAGGAACTAAGCAAGCTCACAGTGCTGGTGGCCATCTTGCACAGTAAAGTCTGAGAAGGAACCCTGCACAGAAGAGAGTGGAAACAAGTTGGAGTGCCTGAATCACTTTACCTCAACTTTTCTTTACATAAGCCCCGAGTTTCTCATGTTAGCACAAACCATTTTGAGTTGGATTTATTTATTCTTTTTTTTTTTTTGAGACAGGGTCTCCCTGTAGCCCCAGCTGGCCTGCAACTTACTATGTAGACCAGGCTGGACTGCAACTCACAAAGATCCGCCTGCCTCTGCCTCCCAAGTGCTGGGACTAAAGGCATGTGCCACTACACCCAGCTGGATTTATTCTTTTACACACACACACACACACACACACAGAGCTTTGATCATATCCTTCCTCCCATGGTCCTCTCATGTCCTTTCTTTCACTGAACTGAGTTATTCATCGTCAGCACTAGTTTATTGGACTGGGAATATAGGTCAGTAGTCGAGCATTTGCCCAGATGTACAAGGCTCTGGGTTTGATCCCGGGCACTTTAAAACAGGTTGATGTACTGAGTATACAGGTATTCAATATTCTGAGCATTTGTGGGTATAAATTCATTTAATTCTTACAATAGTTTTATGGGATAAGTACTGTTCTTCCTAATTGACAGATGAAGGATAGATGAAATGCAAAGCAGTAAAACTTGTAATTTTCCAACTACAAAGTGACAGATTTGGTATCTGAGGCCAGGAAATCTGGCTGCCAGGTCTTAACCATTATATTACCTCTATCATATAAACTGCTCAATACTTGAATCATACTGTAAGCTACCATATCACATGAAGGAGTAAGATATAACCTCAGCTCTACAGAACTTACTTCAATTCCATTTTAACACATGTAAACAGAATATAACCCAGGTACAGGAAGCAAAGCCCTGGGAGGGCACCCAAATAAAATAGTCTGTTTTTCCCTTCAGTTCTATGAGTTTTCACATGACATCTGTTTTACCACAGGTCACAGAAAAAGGAGAAACAGGTTTGTCCAGAGACTCTGGTGATACTGTCTTGGACAAAACAAATGGATGCTTCTACCCTTCTACCTGTGGCTGTACCTGGGAATAAGGTAGTTATAACCTGTTTCAAGGTACTAATCTGCCATTTCTTCTATATAAAATGCTGATGAGGGCAAAAATGGAACTTAGATGTACCTTGAGGTCAAATGCTCATTTATCTGCATGAAGGTGTGCATTCATTGGTTTCTAATGTTCCTACAGATGTCATGTGAGAACTCACAGAACTGAAGGGAAAAACTGGGCGCCCTCCCAGGCTTTGTTTCCTGTACCTGGGTTGTATTCTGTTCACATGACTTTTTATTTAGGCAACATCATAGCAACTATATACATATACACTATATGTGCTATATGATGCTATACATACTATAGTTCTAAGTAAACAGAGAACCTGTCCCAGGCTTGTTTCATTGATAGCTTGTTCATTTATTTACTTGGCTGAACAACTGAATGATGTCTGCTTCCCACTGAGTGAAGCCTCTGGTGTTACTCTTCAGCATGGAAGCTTTGGGCATGGCACAATGACACTTCCAGTGAGTGCCAGGGAAGCCCCCTGGCAAATTTGTATTTGCGTACGTGCTTTCCCTTAGCTTTGGGTACCAGTTTCCTAATTTCTTATACTTTTATGACTGGATGAAAATTACCTCATTAGTTAATATCAAACAAAAATGATAAACAAGACCTATTGTTTTTCAAGCTGGTATGCTTTCTGCTACACCACCATTCAGAAGGTTGAGCCTACAAAAGAATGTGATTACAGTAAGCAAGCAACAAAAGATCTTTTTTTGTTGTTAACTTAATATTTTATGCTCTGAAGTAACTAAAGGTAACCTAATGAAATCTAAGAAGTTTACTTTCAAATAAAATTAAGCATTTAAGCTTTGGCTAAACTGATGATTCGTTATACATAATTTATGGTTACTTATACATAATTTATGGCATATGAGAACTAGTCCAGATATTTGTTGAATACATTTATTTTAAAAATTTAAAATTAGAAACAATGTTTGATATTATTATTTATTATACTATATTATGATGAAGCTACTTGGGTAAGTTATAAAGTAGAAACCCTTTTGCATGTTGACAACCTTACTTTGTCTATTACTATTTAGATGAACCCACCCCTACCATGTAAGCAGAAACTCACAGGTTTTACATTCCTCATCTGGGTTCAAAGCTTGTTCAGCTATGTACTGTAACCTCAGAAAGTTATTCATGATTTTTAAAAAAATTCTTTTAAAAATAAAGATAATACTTATCTAAGGGGATGTTTTTGTGTGTGCACTAAATGAGGGACTTGGGAATACCTAGCTCCTGGTATACAGCAAATGTTTAAAGTTGGTTTTTTAACAATTCTTGAAGGCCATAAGAAGGTTTTGGTTTGCTTTTTCTAGAACTTTTGTTGGTATGGTGTCTCAAAATCCAAGCCTGCTGACCTCCTATATACAATACCTATTTTGATCAATGATTGCATGATAAAAGTATACTCAAACTGAAAAGTATACTCAAACTGAAAGCCAGGCTTTGTAGCCCATGCCTTTAATCCCAGCAATTGGGAGGGAGGTTAGGAAGGGAAGCAGAGGGAGGTAGATCTGTGAGACCTAGGCCACCCTGATCTCCTTAGCCAGGCAATAGGGAGACCTGGTCCCCCCTCCCCCCCAAAAAAGTATACTCAAATTGAAAACAAGATAATTCAAGTGATCAACTAGCAGTCTGATTCAAAGTACTCCTTTAAATATTCGGTGGGATGGGGGTATGTGAGACTGTTTGCTTACTTAGCTTGGGGAAAGAATATTCCCCAAGACGGTTTGAAGATGCAAATTGAATGGGGCTGATTTGTAAAGATTTATGGGTGAATGACCCCAAGTACTCCACTAGCTATTCACTTAATTCAGAACATTCAGTCAAGGGCAGGTAGGTGTATACGTGATTATGGGTAGGTTTTGCTATTAAATATGCAGTTCCCCAACCAGCAACACTGCATCACCTGGAAGTTTATTAAAACGCAATATCCCAGCCCCCTGTCCTAGATCTCCCGAATCATAATCTGCACTTTAGCAGGAGTCTGGGTACATTCGTACGCACATCAAAGTAGCTCTGCGACGATCGGTGGAGGCTGTGACTGGGCGATTCGCACACACTAACTCCTTAAAATGTGTAGTTCCCCAACCAGCAACACTGCATCACCTGGAAGTTTATTAAAACGCAATATCCCAGCCCCCTGTCCTAGATCTCCCGAATCATAATCTGCACTTTAGCAGGAGTCTGGGTACATTCGTACGCACATCAAAGTAGCTCTGCGACGGTCGGTGGAGGCTGTGACTGGGCGATTCTCACACACTAACTCCTTAAAATGTGCCAGGAGCTTACTTCGTATTATCTGCATTTAACCCTCAGGAACTCTATGGCATGGGTACTTGACCCCTAGGTCAAGATGAGGAAACGGAGGGTCGTTTCTGTGGAAGCAGCGGCGCCTGACTGGGGGCCGACGTCGGACTTCAAAGACCAAGCTTGAGCCTTTGCCTCTGAGACACCGAAGAGAGAAGTATAGAGAGGATCGAGATCAGGGAGGCCTGCGGTCAGGGCGACCAAATCCAGGCCCAGCAGTGGACGCCGAGTGGGTGGGGCTCTCGCGGGCCGGGGACTTCAGCTCGGGACATTACGGCGGGCGACCCGGGACTGGGGGCGGGGGAACCCGAGCGCCAGGGCGCGGCCTCGACCTGCCGGCCCCGACCCAGGCCTCCCTTTACCTCTCCGGCTGCCATCCATCCTTCTGCAGCATGGGCGGGGACACACACCGTCCGCTTGGTCTTCGCCCTGGCCAGGCCGGGCTGCAGCGGAGGTCGGGAAAGAGCTGGTGGGCCGTGGAGCCTGTCACCCAGCCGGTTGCTAAGGACCCGCTCCTTGGCGGCGGATTGTGACGCCAGGACGCAGGGGGTGCTCTCTGAGGCCCCGCCCACGTTCCCGACTTGTCCGGAACTGGGCCCCGCCCCTAGTCATGCCCTCGCCTCCTCTAGGCCCCGCCCACTCTCCTCGGGGCCCTGGGGCAGCCCGCAGGAAAGGCCCAGGTGCCAGTCTGTTGCTCTGGGAGCCCGCCAGGCGTCCATAGAGCGAACTGCTGTCAGGAGCCAAGTCACAGAGCCTGGCAGGCTTTGTCGCTGCGGGAAGAGCGGGGAGAGGAGGTGCTCTCAGATGGCATCCAGGCCCCCTGAGTTCCAGAAAAAAGCCAAGCACAAATAAATGGAACTGGAGGTCAGGGTTAACATTTAACCAGTTCCAAATAATTGCATTGAAAAGCAATTGCTGAGCCTCTGGATTAGTGAAAAGTCCTGGGGTTAAGAAACACCTACAAGCCGGGCGTGGTGGCGCACACCTTTAATTCCAGCACTCGGGAGGCAGAGGCAGGCGGATCTCTGTGAGTTCAAGGCCAGCCTGGTCTACAGAATGAGTTCCAGGACAGCTGGGGCTACAGGGAGACCTTGTCTCAAAAAGACCAAAAAAACAAAAACAAAAAAAACAAAAAAATCCCCCAAAAACATAAAACCACCTACAAAACTTACAGCTGTGTGTGTGTGTGTGTGTGTGTGTGTGTGTGTGTGTGGTGTGTATTGCATGCATGTGAATGTGCGGGAGTGTGGGAGGCCTGAGCAGAGCCTCAGGTGTCTTCCTCTATCCGGGTCCACTTTATTGACTAGACACAAGGTGGTCTCTTATTGAACGGGAAGCTCACTACTTGGACTCTCAGGATCTATCTATCCCTTCCCTTCTCATACTAGGGTTACTGGCAGGTGTTACCATGCCTGTTTCTGATGTGAGTGCTAGGGTTTCGAATTCAAGTGTTTGCACAGCAAACACTCTTGTCCACCCAGTCATCTCTCTAGCCCTCATCCTACTTCTGACCATCGGTTTGAATTTCCTTTCAGCATACTGGGTTCTCTTCCTCTGCCTCACCCTCCCCTTTTTTTTTTTTTTTTAATTGTTTTTTTCATAGCCAAATGTTTAGAAGAGGCCTTACATTACAAGAGCATTGACATATTCAATAACAATTTCCAGAGCTAAGATGCTTCTCTTTCAAAATTGGCTGTAAATTGTTAGGTTTACAGTTGAATTAATACAGTTACATAATATTGTACTCCGTATAAACCCCATAAGACAAAATTAAATGAGGTTTTAAACTTTAAAAAAGATGTCCATTTCATTATATTTTAACACAGTTTCATACAAAAAAATTCATTTTTAATGCAACTGACACTAAGATGCATATGTGTTTCTAATCTCTATATATCTGATTGTTACTAGTCACAATCGGTTATTTTCTGAGCTCCTTAGCATCTGAGCATGGATATAAAGTCATCAGGTAGATTTCAGTGATAATGTTTTTCACATCTACTAATTATTAAGGAGCAAATTTTTATGCTTTGAAGAATTTTTTTTATACACCCACTTACCAGGTAGCCCCCTTTCATACACTCTGATATCCCTGCTACTGTATGGTGTGTTGTCGGCACCCCAAGCCATTCCCCACTACTTGCCCTTCTGGTGAATCTAGTCAGCCTGTCTAGAGGTTTTTGTTTGAGGAGGGTCAGCTGTTCCTCAACTAGCAGCAATCCGTTGTCAATATTCCTTTAGACAAGATTGGGGTCTGCTGTTCATTTTCCCAGTTCTATGCTGGGTTACTATCTGGGAGTCACTTGGGCCACCACCCTGGCCAACAACTCAGGAGGTATCTCCTGGCTGGCATTGTTGCTTGCTATGTAGCCTTTAGCTATACCTACGAATCTTTTAAAGAATTATATTGATCTCTTTAATCTTTGGTTATACTTTCCTTTTGGGTGTTTAATACCATGCAGTTGGCCCAGATAAACCAATTTATTTTTATTCTTAAGGTTGTTTGAGGCTCTGTTCCTCAGGGGCCACATGGGCTTAGGAGGAGCCCCTGACTCCTTTCTTTTACCGGTTCTGCCCATGTGAAGATAAATCAAAGGTCCTGCTCTCCCACAGCTGGCTTCACTTGGAAGTATGGAGGAAATGATTCCTCTGTGTTGACCGTCCTCTTTGTAGACTGGACATCGGTTCAGTGCATTTGAAGGGGTCTCCATGGCCTCCTTTATCAAGAGGACAGGTGACTCACCAAAGTTACAGGACGTTTTGAGATATTCTCTATAATCCCCTGGAACTTGTAGACCTTGGAGGTCAAGGAGCAAAAACTGTCCTTCTGACTAAATTAGTATAGGCCTCAAAGTATGTCTGTTAAACACCCAAGAAGGTTAGTTCCACCAGGCTGGTATTTTTAATTACTGTGTGTCATGGAGATAAATCTTGGGCAAAGACCAGTTGTTCTCAGATAAACCTTACCTAGACATATATTTCTTGATCTGCTATCTATAGCAGTCAGTAGGTTGTAGGAGTAATATGGTTCTCACTGTTTTTCAAAGCTAGCTAGGCATTGTTTATCTCTCACATTGTCTCACCCCTCCATCATGGTTTTCCCTCTTAAGGTGCCCCCTTTTCCTCCCTTTCTCTCATAATAATACCCTTCTCCTGTGGTCCTACTTCTCTTGAGCTCTTTCTTTCCCTTTATGCCTTAGGTTCCTTGCATACGCTTCCCTCCCCCCTCCCTTAAAATAACCCAATTTTTATCCATATCCCCTTATTACGGCCTGTTTCCTACTGTTCTTCTCTTTCAGGTTCTTTCTTTTCCTTTACTTCCCCATTTCCTTTCCATTATCCTGGTTCCTGTAGTTATGTCTGAATACATACTCACTTACCAGATTTTGGTTCTACGATCCACATATGAGGGAGAAGATATGTCGATTTTTTTTCTGAATCTGTGTTACTTCAATTAGTATAACAGTTTCTAGATCCATTCATTTACCTTCAAATTTAATTACTTCATCTTT